ACATACGCCAGTACTTCCGCCTGGTGCAGTACGCCTGGAGAACGTGCACCCTTTACACACACATAGAGACGGCAGCAAGCGCCAGAGATGCACAGCTGTTCACCTGCACAACTTGCAGGGCGAGATGAGCGGCCCCCGTGCCGCCGTCGAGAGCTATTTTGCCGTGATAAGTGCCAGCAAATAAGAAGCTTTCGATTCTTGTGTTTTCAAGGGGAAATGATTTTGCATGCTCAGCTCAGTGTGTATTTTGCTGTCCCATTGGAGGTGATTTGCGTGTAGGAAGTCACAACATTTTGTTTCGTCCCAGCTGCGCAGAACAGGCTATACTTGGCTGCCGGCTTGCTCAACGGGCAGGTGAGACTGCTAATGGCGGGCAATAGGTCGAATCCCGGCACAGCAACCTAAACGTTGCTTGGGAACCAGTTAGCTCTGGCTAGCACTGCAGTGGTCTGGGTATAGAACCTCCGCAGTCTGTCTGGCAATGAACCTTTTGCACACGCAGTGAGCCTTGGGCTACGATATTAGCATGCACAGTGCCCATGCCGTTTGCAGGTTGCAATATGGGACGCAAGTTCTCTTAGGCTGCAACAGGATACCTCCGGTAAGGATACGCCTCTGGAAGCATCAAATCCAGCGCGTAGAACTTTGCTCTTTCAAGCCGTTGGTTGTGGCTGCTACCCCTAGCTAACGACGCTTTCCATCACGGTAGCTGCAACTGACCACTTCTTTAGTTTGAATCTCTGCCCCTTTGCGCCTCAAGAAGCAAAACAAANACGGTAGCTGCAACTGACCACTTCTTTAGTTTGAATCTCTGCCCCTTTGCGCCTCAAGAAGCAAAACAAAGCCTCGCCCCAACTACACATTGCTCACGGATGCATCTCTCGAGCAGACAGTCACCGTTAACGCTTCCTTTCCTTCCTCTATGCATGCAGCTTCTTTCTTTATATCTTTTTGTGCAAAATCCCACATCAATTGCAGGTTCTACAAACATCGGGAAGCTGCAGCCAGCGGTGCTTTCTTCAGCTATTGATTTCTCTCACAAGCGCCCGGTGCAGCATTTGGTGCCCCTTCCACCGAAGTTAGATTTCAGGCGTTCTCTTGCCATTTACTTCAATGCCCAGGCAGAAAATGCCCTTTTTCTTTCTTGTGGAGCTGATGGAGGCGTCTATGTATGGGATATTACCGCTGGAGTTGCAGGTGCCGAAAACACTGAATTTCTATGGAGACCAGTGCTCCAGTGTGAGCTACGCAAACAAGACCCAGGCAAGCAAAANAAAACACTGAATTTCTATGGAGACCAGTGCTCCAGTGTGAGCTACGCAAACAAGACCCAGGCAAGCAAAATACTCTCATCACAAACTATTCCCAATGGGCTTTCATACTACCTCGGATAAGTCTCGCTCAGCATTCCATATGCCCAAATGCTTTTGCTTTGCAACTTCCAGTCCTCAGCGCACGACATACTAACAATGTTCCTACAACTCACAGCCTGGCATACGCAAACAACACAAACAACACAAAGCTATTTCTCCCCCACTCCCCATGCGCACCCACTACGGAACCAAGACCAGTAGGAGCACTCTAGATAAGCGAAGGCAGAAAGTGGATAGAATGCTTTCTGGGATCGAATTGTTGGTGGCGGCTTTCTGTGTGTTCTTACTGACGACCGCAGGGGCCCCCGTTGGCTGTTGCCAGCTAATCGTCCTCCCCACACCACCTCAGACTGTTTCTTCGGAATTCTGGGCCGCTACCGTAGGCTTTCAAGAGAGAGCTGCCAGGATAAAGTACCTGTGTCTCTAGGGCGTATGAGAGGATGCTGCAGTACTATATCCAGTCCTAGGGCATAGCTTGTTTGCTTTGACGATTGTTGTACACAGCATAAGCATTGAGATGAAAAATTTTCGAAAGGGTCTTTTGAAGCTTCTCCACCCTTACCTGCTGCACAGTAACCTGTGTTTCGGCAACTGCATTTGATGCTGCCACTTCAGGAAGAAGGCGATGTACTGCTGGGAGACTGGGGAATATCCTTTGACGACGGAAAAAACGACCACATAAAACAACACTTTCATGTAAGCTTTGATCCCATATAAACTTAGTTGTAGTCAGCTCATGTTTTTTGCTAGTGGGTAGGTAGAGACTTTGTGGTTCTATGACGGCAGCTGCACCAGTATCGAAACATGATCACTATTGCTGCTGCGTGCGGTCTCTGGCTTCTTCGGAAAAACAGGCAACTCGGTGTTTCCGACCTTCGAGAGACTTTCAGCTGTCTCCCTTTATCCCTCGAATCGCACTTCTTGTGACGGACTTCGCTTTCCACATCCTGAGATTGGGATTCCCTCGACCTGTCTATTCCTCTCCTACGTGAGGTACACGACGTCGGCATTTCCTTAGCAGTTGAGGATGAAAGGCGCGGGCTTACGGGCTACTGCGCATATGGTGTTCTCCTTGTATTTCTCATATAATCCTAGACTAAAACAAAGTAGTATATACTTAATGCTGTTTGTTGACGTAAATATAAAGGCGCAACAACATTTATGTTAGGTACGTCCTTGCAGGCCCCCAGCGAGCTACTCGTGCGGCCTTTGGAGCCCTTCACGGCCAGGTGTTCTGTTTCTTGGAAGAATAGATGGTAACCTGGAGGTTTGGGATATCAGAGATCAGCTGCAGAAGCCTACTACAACCAGCGCAGTTTCTGCAACTCAGCTGACTTCTCTGGCCTTTCCTCAGTTGAAACAACAAAAACAGCAGAAGCAGCATCAGCATCCTGCCGGCTACTCTCGCAGTAAATCGAGAAAGCTCACAAGACAGCCTCAGGTAGCAGACGCAATGGCGATAAGTAGTGAACCCAGCCCTGCCCTGGCCTACCTCGCAGTAGGTGATGCAACGGGTGCTCTGAGGGTCCTTAAGCTCTTCCCAAGCCTGACAAACCCCGTGAGAAACACTGTTGGAGTAAACAAAACAGAATTCATAGAACGACGTTCTCGTAGCACCTAGATTTTCTAAAACTTAATGTAGGCGAAAACGGAAAAACTTGAAAACAAATTTGGTGTTGCACTGTTCCATTGACGCAGAATCCAGATGAGCTGAGCCACATTTCTGCAATGCTTTTAAAGGAT